CCAGCCGTCTGGTTAGCAGGCAAGTGTCTTAGCCACTATGCTACCAGAGCTCCTAGTAAACTTGTAACAATACAAAAACTGATTGAAATACCTCTTCTCACCCTAACCTACTTTAAACAATTTTTGTTGTTGTTGTTGTTGTTGGGATAAGATCCAAATCCTTAGCATGACGTGGGAGGCCCTGCACAGCATGGCTGCTATCTTCCAGTCTTATCTCAAATCCATTTCTCATGCACTTTGGCCACCAATGGCCTCCAAAACATTGTTTCCTGCCAAGGCAGATGTGATTTCCTCCTGCTTGGAGGGCCTCTCCCTTTTCAATTCCTATTCATCTTTCAGATGTCAGCTCAAAAGTTACTTCCTTAAGGATGACATTCCTTGAACTTTCAGACTAGACTAGCTCCCTCTATTAGATGTCCTCTAAGAAGGATGTAGCTTTTTTTCACAGCTCTTGTGACTAAAGCAAAACCAAACTCACTATTGAGTCAATTCTGACTCATTGTGACCCCCATTGTGTTTCCAAGGTGGTAAATCTTTATGGAAGTAGATTGCTCCATCTTTCTTCCATGGAGTGGCTGGTAGGTTTGAACCGCCAGCCTTCTGGTTAGCAGGCAAATGCCTTAGGCACTGTGCTACCGGAGCTTCCTTACCACAGTTGTAATTATTCAGCTTTTTGTGTTCCCCACTAGATAAGAAGTAGGGACCATTTTTTTTGTCCACTATCACCAGCTCAAATATGCTTTGAATGAATAAACCATGACTTTCAAATCCATACCTCAAGTTCAGTCCTCCCTTCTGAACTTCTCATCTTTATATCTAGTTGTCAGCTGGTAACTCTATTCTTCTAATCACCCAGGCCCAAAACCTTGGAGTCATCCATTATTCCTTTGTTTATTTCATCCCCTGGTACTTAAACTAAGATCTGGTGGTGCAATGGTTAAAGCATTGGGCTGCTAACCAAAAGGTCAGTGGTTTGAACCCACCAGCTGTTGTGTGGGAGAAAGATGAGGCAGTCATCTTCCATTAAGATTTACAGCTTTGGAAACACTATGGGGCAGTTCTACTGTCCTATAGGGTCGCTATGAAGTCAAATCAACTCAATGGCAGTGGGCTTGGTTTGGGATTGGTACTTAAACCATCAGCAAATCCTATCATATTTACCTTCAGAAGATATCCAGAAATTCAGCCAGTCATGCTGTGTGTCTCCTGACAGAAGAACATAACCTATCCTAGGAAGTATTGTTGCTACTTCCCAGATGGTGAGAAAGCCTACAGTACAGACAACTCAATTTCTTCAAAATAAATGGCCAAGAATGGGGTGTGGCAGGAAAGAGAGATGGAGAGGGAACATAAAGGTTAAAAGACACTTGGATACTTATCAACCAGTTGTAGTATGTAACCTTATTTGGATTCTGATTCAGACTGTTAAAAAAAAAAAAAGCAGAGCAATTATGAGACAACCAGATATTTTGACTTTGTCATGTCTCTTTTCCTCATTCTCTCTTGGTTTATGTTAAGCATTTTTCTCTAAAGTGTCAAGAAGTAACAAAAACATCGTCTGTGGAATCAACAGATCTGGGTTGGAATCCTTACTGTAGGATCTTCTCAAAGTCACCATAAAGTGGTAATGTTTACTGGATGCACAGGAAGACTGAATGAAAACCCATGTAAAACACTCTCCAAACACCTGTATTCAATATATGTCATTTGTTTCCTATGGATGAGTACAGCAGAATACTTCCTGAGAGCATTTTACTCTTTACAAGATCAGGCCTAGCCAAAGCACTGAGTTACTGAAAGACTTCATTCTCTCTAATTCCATTTTTTTCCCCAAAAGTCATATTCCTTTTGAGTCGTAAGCATTTGAGTAGGTACCATGGAATGCAAAGAAGAAAACACAAATATAGTGAATGAATAATATGTGAAACAAAACTGTGACTCAGAGATGAATAGCTGCTTGGCTGCACAGAGGAATTAAGGCTGAAACGTTTAAAAAGAGACTTAACATAGGAATAAGCTGTTTTAATCAAGCAAAAACAAATTTATATTCATTATTTCTAAAAATAAAATTCAACTTTTCCAACCCTTAACATCTGCATTTAATAATATCTTCTAACCAAAATACAGATGCTAAAACAGCAAATTACAATATATCTTGTACAGCATACAGTATGTTCACTGTTTACACTTACTTGAATTCTAGTTGGTCATTATGTACTCAATGCATACTTAACATCACTCATAATAAAATTTTCACAATTAACAAAGAAAATGTGACAAGGCTGTCTTAAAACGGCTCTGCTATAAATTGTATAGAATATACAGAATTACAAAGTCAAGTATTTTTTATCAAAATATACACCCCTCCCTGAAACTAACACAAGCTATCAACATTTTAAATGAATAATTATAGAAAATATTTGAAAAATTATTTCTCATGTATAAATATTCTGCCATATTTACTTTGGTCTAGAGTTATCAGCATACAAGTCCACTTAAAAAATATCCACATGTAAGGGCTGGGAGACATCACTATATTAGTAATTTTATATTTTGAGTTACCTGAAATCAAAATGGCTAAGATACATAGTAATTCTCCTTGATTCAAAATCCTTCCTCCCAATTCACATAAAACAAATTAGTGGATCACAGATTGTTTATTCATTGTTTTAATTATCGATTTAAAAATGGTTTTCGTAAGCCCTTTGTGACTCTCTTTAACAAAACCCAAATGAAAAGTGCAGTTATACACATATAAACCCCAAAACCCACTGCTGTTGATTGTGACTCATAGAGACCCTACAGGACAGAGTAGAACTGTCCCATATAGCCTCCAAGGCTATAAATTTTTACAGAGGCAGACTGCCACATCTTTCTCCCTTGGTGTGGCTGGTGGGTTTGAACTGCCAACCTTTCAGTCAGCAGGCGAAATCTTAACCACCAGGGCTCCTCGATACATATATACAATGTATAAAAGTTGAATTCACTTGCATTTTCCCATTTTCCTCTACTATATAATACTGTATGTAAGTGAAAGTAGTTGAACGAAAGATAAATGCAGATATACAGTATTGGGATTACTTAACAGCAAAGTAGTTAAAAAAGGTCAGCTTTGATCATGTCCTCTTCTGGGTGTTTAAATGCTTTCTTGCCCACCCAAATCCATACCAAGTCTTCTTCATGGAGACATCACTACTTGGAGAGAGAAATCAGAGTCCTTTGAGCTACTTCTTTATAATGATAGCTTTGCAACTTTGGATAACCTCGGGTTTCCATCTAGCATATTCAAGGAATATGAGTGGCTGCAGGTCACCATTAAACCAGGGTTCCAGATTCTGCACATAGTGGTGATCAAAGGGTAGGAGTGTTTTCTCTCCCTCCTATTCTGGCAGTTTCAAAATAACTGAGTTCCAGTTTCCCAGGAACCTAGTCCACATGATGAAATATCCTGCAGGGCAATTAGATTTTGAGGACAATGTTGATGGTGTGGGACATTAAAGAACATTAAAACAACTTAGGTGACTTTTGAGCAAGGGGGCAAGATGTCTGCAAATACGAAGGTAAGACAAGGCATCTGGCTTTGTGGATATACTTTTGAGTCATATAAGGAAGGGACAGAACCTTGTCACTTCATATCCTATCTCTCCATGCCCCTAAAACAAAGTTATTGTTTGAAGCAAAGAAGGTCATCACTTCCTACTGCCCACTCACTCAAGTTATTAAGGGTGGGGACTTTCTCTTGTCCTTTTGTCTTATACTAACATGTACTTGTGGGCTGCACAATCTCCATGAGGGCTAATACTTTTAAGGATTAGGTTTTCTGCTACCTTCAAGCGCCTAGGAATTCACCACCATATGTGTACCTTGCGCTAAATATCATGGACCCTCCTTCAGTGGAATAGGAGATCTCGTCAGGTTTTATTTGAATTGTTCAGACTAATTGTCTGCCTAGAAGAGAACCCCACATCCACGGCCTTGTGATGACTGGAAGACTGCAGAGTTTCAGTAGAATTTGACCCTTTTTCATTCTCTGGGGGTGAGGTCATTGCAAAGTAATACACGGCACAGATAATTTTAAAGGGCTCTGGAATTTACAGGTGAATTCTGGGAAGGCTTCCCTCCACAGATAAGGCATGACCTATGTTTCTGTGACTTGAGTAGACAAGTTCTAATAACAGCTCAGCCATAACTTCATGAGAACAGCATTCCATCTATACATGCTCTTAAGTCATAGTCAAAATGCTCTCTACTGATTTTTTCATCAGTCCTCATTATTTGCAGATCTATTGCTCATTGTTATATTTTCTACAGGGGATATGGACAGTTAACAGAGTGATTTATATACGTATTTTACAAGGTTTGTGTTGCAGAAAAGTAGTTCTACAGAATGTAAGAATGTCCTACTTCAGGATGTTCATTTCACACATATTTTCAGCTACATTATTAAGTATTTCATAGGTATCCCATTAATTTAAACACAATTTAATAGTGCAGAAGCTGGATGGGAATAAAGACTTTCATAGCTCATTTACCTTCTAGCATATTTGTGAAGATGACATTTTCATGGTATCTGACCCTTATTTTCTCCAGTGATTAAAGACAATTCAGCAGCCAGTTCCAATTAGCACTTACTTTGAAAGAGTTTTAAACTAGGCTAAAATTAAACTCTTTTTATTCACTGGTAGAAATAACACAGCTAAGAACTTCATTAACTTTCACAAGATACTTGGGATACCGGAGGCTTCAGCTATTTTGTTTTTTGTGCACTTTGCATAAAGTTAATGCTAAAACCCAAAGTAGATATTAAAGCATCCTTTTGCTGGAATTTTCACAAATGAGATTTTTTCTTTTCAACATTTCACTCCTTCATGACTGTTATGTGAACTATATATATATATATATATATATATATATATATACACACACACATATATATATATACATATACATATATATATATATATATTTAAAAAAAACTTATTTTTGAAGATTTTTCTATCGCCACTCAAAGGACATTTTCAACAACGGCATGTCCATTATCCTTTTGGTCATTGTCTTCGGAATCAATGAGATGTGGATTCTCCAAAGGATTTGAGTTTTCATGGCACGTGTCACCTTCTATTGTCTCCTGCTGACTCGGGCTTCTGAATAAGTGTTTCTTTTGGTGCATTCCAAGGGCAGCAGCTGTTTTGCAAATTTTGGGGCACTGGAAGCAGGCGTATCCCTTCCCATTATGCTCCCGAACGTGCCTCTGCTCATGATTCCTTTTTGTGGAAAGATACAAAAAACTCTGGAAGCAGAACTGACAGTGATAACGCTTTTCACCAGTGTGGATTCTTTCGTGGATTTTGAGGGTTTCATTCAGCGTGAATGCCTTGTTGCAATACTGACAGATGAACTCCTTCAGGCCAAGGTGGATGCGCTCGTGTTTCTGCAGGTTCCCGTGCACCGAGAAGCACCGCCCACAGGTCTTGCACTGGTATGGCTTCTCTCCCGTATGACATCGCATGTGCATTTTTAGTGTGGAAGGGCTCTGGAACTGCTTGGCGCAGAGCTCACAGGTATAAGGTCTGGAAGTCAGATGTCGGTGGGGCCTGCCTTGGCTTCCAGCTGTGGCTCCTTTATCTCCATCGCAGAGTTCGCACTGCAGCTTGGGCATCTCTTTATTGTCATCTTCCTCAAAAGCCTTGTCCTGAGGGGGCTTCCCCACAGCACAATCCAGTTCTGCTGGGTATTTGCATTTATTGCTTGGGCTCCTGTTCCCATGTTCTTTCCTCCAGCTGGCTTTCCTCATTTTTCTCAACTGTCTGGATTTCTTTTTAGGCTTGTAGTTGTAGTAAGGGCGCCATGGCTTGTCAGTAGAATCCTGGTCACTGGCTTCATCAAACATTTCACTCATCTCCACACACTCTGACTGGCAAAGCCCGAGTGGGCTGTCCCCATTGGGTTCCCGGTCACTGTCCCGTGACAAACCTTCCTCCTGTGTTTGATATTTGGATCTTCTCCCTCTTTTATAAAACAATTTGGATCCTAGAATGTGTCTTTTCACAATGGCCTCATTCCCAATTTTTACAGTTATTTGGCAAAGGGGTGCAACGTTGCTATTTGTGGAGGTGCCAGGTAGAGCAGGTTTTGCAATGTAGGTTTCAATTTTACTGGTTTCTTCAGTGGTATTTGTGGTTTTGCTTGACTCTCCAGGATCAGCAACATATTTTGATTCCTCTGGTACTTCTCCCTTGTTAGGGAGTATAGTTTTCTTTTTCTCCTTAATGCTTTTGGGTCGGCTTGCAACTTTAATCCCTTTATCTGGCTCGGGTTTGCTGTTGTCTGTCAGGGACTGACTGACAGCCGTGTCTGTGGGGGCTCGGTTGGTAGTGCTGGTCGTGGCTGCAACAGCATTGCTGTGCATTATCACTGATGAAAACTGGCTACTGTGCACAATGACAGAGGGGGCTGAGCCACTGTAGCTGATGACAGAGGCAGAGTTCTCACTGCTATTACTTAAAGGCAAAACAGGGACATCTCCGGCCTGGGGGTCAGAATTGACAGCGTTTTCAGTGGAGGAAACTGACACCTCAGTTGAGTAAAAATTATTGTCAAGATCAACTTTCAATGGCTCCTCTCCCCATCTGGTGCCCTCTGCATTTTGGGCGTTGGTGGAAGTGGGTATATCCTGACAAGCTGATGCTTCCAGTGGAATGGCTGGACTGTTTGTCACAGTGTTTACACTGTCTTGGAAATTCAGTGTAGGTAATTCAGAGTTGGGTGGGTTCTGAATAACATAGGTACTAGGTACAGACTCATTCATCTGACTGTTTTCTCGAGCATTTTCATAGGAAGAATGTCGGTAGCTCTTATAAGGAGCCCTCTTGCATTTCATAGGCAGCAGCCTATAAAGTTTGTATGGATAGACACTAGGCTTCAAGCCTCCATTTGCTGTTTTCTTACTGATGGAAAGTCTATGATCTATGGCATGGAAAGACTTCTGATGGTTTTTGAGTATATAGTAGGTCATGAAAGTTTCAAGGCAGAAAATGCACTGATACCGCCTTTCCCCCGTATGCCAAATTTCATGTCTTGTCCTGTATTCAGCCAATGCAAATACTTTGTTGCAGTAATGGCAAGGATACGTTCTTCTCCACGAGTGAACGTTTGCATGTCTCCGGAGACTGGATAAAGTCACATAACTACGCTTGCACACAACACAACTGTAGAGCATTTGTCCGTTGACAAATTTCACCATGTGGTCCATTTCTGGCAAAGTACTTCCGGTACTGGAGAATTCACCAATCCTATTTTCAGATAATAAAGGTTCTGGACCTGTGAAGGAAGCTCCATTTTGTCCAATGGTGGGATAGTTTTCTAAAAAGTGTTGGTTTCCTCCAGGAATGGGCATGTGGTTTGACCTCATGCAGATCTGCTCATGCCGATCCAATCTGTTGAGAGTGGTGAATTGTTTGTTGCAGTACTTGCACACTAAAGGCTCCTGCGTCGGCTTGTGAAGCTGCATGTGGGCACTGAGCAAAGCGCTACTGTCAAAAGATTTGGAGCAACAGCTACAATTGTAAACAAGAGGTGGAACCTCTGCTAATGGTGGCCCAGGAACGTCAGAGGATTTATTTCCATCTTCCCTGGGCAAATGGACATCTCCTTCGTTGCTGGGAGATTCTGAGCTAGAAAGAACTGCAGCTGGCTGTGGACTTCTTTCTTGATTAACCTCTAAGTTGGTTATGGGAGGGGGCGGTATATTTTCTGTAGTTGAATCAGAATCCTGGGGTACGGAGGGTGTCTTTGGCTTGTGGCATGGTTTCGGCTTTGCTGCAGGAACTTTGCTAGTGTCTTTACCTGTTTTACTAGGCGAACTACTATCACGTTCACACGCAGGCTGACTTCTGTAAGCTTCCGCCACGGAAGATACAGCATAGGAGTGTTCCGCCAGCGTGCGGACGGGCTCCACCTCATGGCAGACGTCAGTCCTCTCTAGGCAAAGGCTACCTGTTCTCATGGAGTCAGAGACCTTTTTGAAACTTGCTCTCAAGTCCAGTGGAGAAAACATGTTACTACTATTTTCTGACTCAATGATGGAAAATGCATTTGTGATCCTTGGCCCATTGGTGATGGCTGGTTCTTCGTGCCTCTTTTCATTTTTTTCTTCTTTTACTACTCCCTTCTCAGTAATACAGAATACATAGGGGCCTGGAGAATTTGAGAAATTGCGATTGGTAAGATCTTCCAAGAATGATATTCCCAGCTTTTTCCCCGCAGCTGCAAGATCAGTGACTGTTTCCTGTCTCTTGACAACAACTGTGGAGCTGTAGATATAATTAAGTATTTCTGTAAACACTTCAGCTTTGAGATCGTCCAGCTCCAGGACATGGCTGGAAATACAGATGGTATGGCTCCAAAATATATTTTTGAAATAAAGGCTTGAAGCAGCCAGGACATTGCTGTGGGCTTTAAATTTGGTGTCTTCCACAATGATAGTGACATCACATAAAATGCCCCGAATGCGTTGCTCATTTAAGATGGATAGCACTGTGTCACTGTGAAAGTCGTCCTTGAGGTCCCTGGAAAGGGACATGACTGTCATCTGAAACAAGAAGAGAGAAAAGGTCAGAGGCCTTTCCACAAGTCGCTTCTCTATTTATAGGTCATTTTCAATTAACTCGCCTTCAAAAAAAAAATTTTTTTTTTTTTGAATGGAAACACAGATTGCCTTTTTTTGTTGTTCCTAAGACTTGGGAGTCAACATGAGGGGATAAATCTTTTTCTCAGCCCCACCTGCTTCTTGAACCAGTGCTGATAGTTGTTACAGTTGAAAATCCCCAGTATTCTTTCCCCTTATTTCTGCAAAGTTATAGCTATACATATCTGTTCAAATTTGGTGGATTTTTTTTTTTCCCAAAAAATGTTAAGGGTCCCATCATCACTCAGAGCTGCTTGAACTAGACCCTTGGAATTAGGCAATGCCATGGCCCTGCCACAAGCGTCTTATCAATTTTCAAAGATGTAATTCATGAAGCAGAAAAATGATTTTTTTTTTTCCCAAAAAAGAAATTTTCCGTAAGTAGGTGGTACCTGTATTAAGTACCACATGCTCAGAGAAGCAGCAAAAATTGAAAAGTCATTCCTAACTCATGGCTCTGAAGGGTCCACCTCTATCCTGCTGGGCTCAGGTCTCTGCATGACTAACGTGAGCACTGGGAATAATACCCTGCTGTCTGTGCTACTGACGCACATGGGAACCCACATTGTTTCTTTTCTGATTTCTCTTTTATTATAGACAAAGTAGAAGTTTTAAAAAAGAACTCTGAGGTGCTGAAGGTAAACCCAAAGGAAATAAAACATGGAACCAGGAAAGTATGTTTCTGTGTGTACAATAATGAGTCTAGTCACAAGTTCCTAAATTAGCACAATTTAAAGGTGCAATGGCTCTTGTTCTGGTCGGAGGATCCCATCTCTGTTCCTCCCCAAGCCTAGTCCTTGTTATAGTTTTCGGGTGAACACTGTCCTATACCGTGGGCCTGCCATGATGGCACAGCCGGGCCACCCAACTGATATTCTAGTGACAGATCATCAAAAGCAGTGGTTTTCATGCTTACAGTAAGAAATTCATGGTACTTAGTGACCAAAGATACAAAGGAAATTAATGCTTACTAGTTGTGATGCATTCTGTTGTCTACCATTATACTTCATTAAAAAGAAAAGAAAATGACAAGAGCAACTTGCTAAACTAATTTCACTATCCACTACCAGAACACTCCTATAGTTAAACACAAGCCAGAACAAACCTAAGAACAAACACTGGTCTAAGGGACATACTATCCAGCTATTCATCCAGCTTCCCTATGATATCCCTCATTTACCAAATGAAGTCACCAGAGAGCCATAATTTTTTTTTTTTTAATTTTTATTGTGATTTAGGTCCAAGTTTACAGAGCAAAATCATTTTCCATACAGCAGTTCACATACACTGTCTCATGATATTGACTGTAATTTCCCACAATGCAACAGCTCCCCTCCCACATTCTTCCCATAGTCACCTCTTCCCTGTGTCCTTCCCTCCCATGAACTCCTGTCCCCTGAGCTGTCTCCCTGTGCATACACAGCCCTTCTATTCTCCCATAATTGTTCTCTCCAAGGAGTGTATCTAACTCATGTAAATTTTCAGTTAATATGCCTATCTTTTGTTTGGCTGGAAGCCACAGCACTCGGTTTAATTCCTGAACTGAAGAGCAGTTAGGGGCCATAGTCTCAGGGGTTCCACCAGGCTCTATCAGACTAGCAAACCAAGCCCTTTTTTTTTTTTTTTTTTTTTAATGATTTGGAGTTTTGTTTCACATTATTCTCCCACTCTATCCAGGATCGGAAAGCCATAAATCTTGATGGTATTCTTTTAAAAACTCCAGTGACAAGGACTTCCTAGCACTGGTGTATAACATTTAGCTCATGTCATTTATTCAGGTTGGAGAGATCACCAGATGGTCACATAAAGAACCTCTTGTTACCTTTTGTAAGGCTGCTGCTATAAGCTGAGCCCATTATGTTGTTTAGCATCCTTTATACAAGGATCCATTTGATAAATTCTTCTATTGCATAGGCAAAAACTGCATTTCTACTAACAAATGCTTCTATATTTAGGGAATGAGAACAATATATTCAACATGTTTCTCTTTCAATTCTCAAGACAAGGAAGCCAAGAACTAACTTTTATCATCAACTGTAGTCATTCTTAGCCTGAGTTTCTGGTGTGACTGTCATCTCACTTTCTTAACATCAGTTCTTCTATTCTTGTTTACTGAGGTCCGTCTTTAATTATAATCTTTCATGAATCTTTTCTAGTGTTGGGGATTAAATCTACAAATAAAAATAGGATTGATGAAATGGGATTCATATGGCTTTCTCTCTGCCCCTAAAAGGAGGAAGATCATCCCTGAACAGACCTCAGGAGTTTGTCCTTCATGGGCTATAGATCAACAACATACCTTGTTCATGTTTCTTTTGCCTTCCTTGAGGCCTTTCTGCCATAGGCCCCTGTAGGATCTACTTTCCACCCTGACTCATTATATCCTTATCATGCTTGTCTTCTTTAAAGTCCACATGGTATTTCAATTCACCTAACCTAACTGGATAGACTCAGATCTGGCAAAACACATGCTACATGCCTCAAAAAGGTAGTTTCCATCTTGGCTTAGCTCTGTGCCAACTTCATCTACTCTGTCTTTCCACCTCAAAACTATTGCTTCTTTCAAAACACTCTACTATACAGCACCTTGAACCTCCCACTTGGCTCCACTTCCATTTGGGGAACACAGTTTTCAGAACCATGTCCTATAAACACTCTAGAGTGTCCTGACTCTATAAGCCCACTTTTGGGATATTCTTGGATTCTTCCCTCAGATTGTTCACTTAGGGTGGTTAGAAAAAGACCAACTGTTAAACTTAATATGTTAGTCATAATTACAGTTAGAATAATGTATATGCAATTACAACTTTCATCATGTATCATTAAAACATGTTGTTAAAACATCCTCCTATCTTTGGAAGCCCCTAGTATGATCTCCTTTACGGGAATATCCACCTCTGTATGACAGAAATCCTTTTTAAATCACAGTTACTTTATTTTTATGTAGCACCTTGATTTGCCTTCTTGGCACACACACACAAACCAAAATACTTCATTCTTGTATTAATTTTATCCAGAAAATATGTTAATGCCTAACAAGGTCAGCCATGGTGCTTGGTGCTGGAGGTAAGGAGGTGAGTAAGGCAGGTCTCTGCCCTCGAGGAACTCAGAGTCTAGGGGAAGAAAGAGACCTGTCAACTAGTAAATGGAATCCACGGTGGAGGCCTTATACTAGAGATACGGACAAAGTGTTAGAAGATGAAATAACAACAACTTATTATTTACAGGGGAACTGGAATGCTTAACATCAATGAGAAAAATAGAATAGGGCTGTTGAAGGGCAGTCTAAGCAGAAGGAATGCCCATAGGCACAATGTGAAGTTGCCCATCCTAGTGGTCCAGGTAAAAAGTATCCTATCCACCCAGGCAGAGTGAGAGCTTGGGAAAGGATGGACAGCCCCTGGCTAAGACAGGAGAGTAGGTCTAGGGGGAGAGGGAATGTATCTGAACTCAAAATTTATCTTAATTCCCTGAACAGATTATTTTTAACATTTTTATTTATTTTGTAGTTGTTGGAAATATACAGCAAAACATACACCAATTTGACCATTTTTACATGTACAATTCAGTGACCTTGTTATACTCTTTGAGTTGTACAACCACTCTCACCCACCCTCTGAGTTGTTTCTACCTAGTAATATAAACTCATTGTTCCCTAAGGTTCCTATCTCATCTTTCCAGTTGCTGTTGTCAATTTGATCCCATAGAGATAGTTCTGAAAAGAACATAATGCTCAAAGCGGACACTTTTCACTAGTTCAGCTAAACTACTGCTTTTAAGAGACTTCAGGGGATATTTTTGCTTTAAGTTTTGAAGATTATCTCAAAGCAATATTTTCAGGAGTTCACCTAGCCTTCATGGCTCTGGAAAGTTTGGAGTCCATAAGAATTTAAAAGTCTGTTATGTATTTCCTCCCTTTTGATTAGGGTTCTTCTATAGAGTCTTTGATCAAAATGCCCTAAACAGATATTCATTGAATATCTGCTACAAGGCATCAGATTAAGTGCTACAGGAAAACAAGAATTCATTCTTCCTTTGAACAAATGCTTACTGAATTACTACTACATGCTTTGGGACAGTGGTCTCCAAACCTGGCTATGTTATCAGAGTTACCCAGGGGACTTTAAAATAGTGCAGATTTACAGATTCTCTACACTCTTTTCCCCCAGTAGAGATTCTGAATCCATATGGATTTTTATACTTCAATTTATGAGTAAGTATATACCCATATGATACCAAATTCAAAAGGCACAAGGAGTAGACAGTGAAAGTCTCCCTCCCACTTTGTCACAGAGGCTCTTCAGTTGGTTTCCATCAACCAGCTAGAATCACGCCTCGGGGCTGATACTAAAACCTAGCACCATAAGATAAATTAAAATTCTGTCCAAAGAGCTTGCAGTGTAGTAGGGAAAATAAGATAAGTCTGTGAAACACTGCAAAACAAAGATACACAGTGAACATGCAGGACCAGGCACACAGGAAGAAGGTTATGGAGTTCTCAAGTGAGAGACTGCTTTCAGCTTCCATGGGAGGCTCAGGAATGGGTGTGAAGGAAAAGAGAGGGAGAGGATTGGGGAAAGCCTTAGAAGAGAAGTGACATTTGCTGGATCTTGATGAGTAGAATGCAGCTCTATAGATACGAGCAAAAGCAGAAAAGGGAATTCGGGGCAGGAAAAGGCCCAGAGTCAGTTTTATACTCTCAAGAAGCTTATAATGTAGAAGTCAATACAACAGCCTAAAACAAAGAATCCAAATCTCCAGAGGCAACTTGGAAAACAGGTTGTAGTTATTGTAGACACAATTTAAAATCTTTAAGGCTTTAGTGGCCTCTTCTCCAATATCAACCATGATGTCTACCTACACCACCCATTTTATCATAGTTTTTAGAGGGTAATCACTGCCCA